TTTTAAACATTGTGCTCATCCTCTCCCGCTGGGCTCCCTCATGGCAGCTGTATCCTCTGGCGCTCATTTTCCTCGTACTATCATTCATAGCTGGATGTGGCATTTGAATGATTCCTTGTCCTTGATGGCTTCCAATTTTAAACTTTTAGTCCCAGTAATGAAACTACTAGATCTCCTACTAACATCCAAAGAGTGTTGATAACGTACTGAACTGAACATTGTCTCGTCTCCTCACAAGACTCTCTGTTGTCAGCTTTTCTCATAAAAAACAAAAAGAGTTTATTGACCTGGATCATTTTGGCCGGTGCCTCTGGGAGGTTTTCTCCCTATCCTGCCATGTAATGCTACACAGTTCTTTTGTTGTTGTATGAGTTGTCTGTTTGTCACGATGTTAGCCTAGGGTAGCTTATTTGATTTAAACATAGGGTGATTCTTTTCAAATGCTGGTCACTAGTTAGAGTTATGGTAAATGGTCTTATACTTGTATAGCGCTTTTCCATGCATTGCATGCACACTCAAAGTGCATTCACACAGCGGTGTCATCACCGGGAACAACTGGGGGTTCAGTGTCTTGCTCAAAGACACTTTGACATGTGGACCGGACAAGCCGGGAATCGAACCGCTAATCTTCTGGTTAGGAGACGATCCGCTTTACCTCCTTCGGACACTCAAGTTGCCTAGTAACAGTGTGTCTTCTCAATAAAGTGTCTGAGTGAAACAAGCAGACTCGCAGTTCATTCTGCTTTGTTGAAGGTTATAAATCACTCTGTTACAGTTGCATTATTTGTTTGTAAATGCTAATTTTATTTACCTGCAACTGTGACTAGTAGGTTGAACAAATTCATCCTCCATTCCAAAAGAAAAACCCTCCAACATTTGGCCGGTGGTGGGTGCTAATTTCCAACCCTGATTCTTTTGTAAACATTTCTGTGGTGTTTCAGTGGAAGCGGTCCCAGAGACTAATGAGGAGAAGTTAGCCCGCTTGGAGGCTATACTGCTGCAGGACCTCAGAGTTCTCAAACACAGGCAGGTCATCCATCCTGTGCTGCAGGAGGGTGAGTTCACACAAACGCATAAACATCCCTGTGGTTGAATTGGTTATGCCAAGTAATGTCATGTGAATATGTTCTCTCTGTGGCTTCTTTTGTCCATTGTCAAGTGGGCTTGAAGTTGAGCTCCCTAGACCACACTCAGTCCGTCGACCTGCAGTATCTGGGGGTTCATCTGCCGCTGCCTCCTCCAAACCGACCTGCACAAGACAAGGCCATGGACCTGTCTCCTGGCGGTAAGTTGTGCTGATCTTTGGCAGTTTGTTCATGTTTAATTGAGGGTATATTGTGGTGCTGGGGCCCTTATTTGGCTGTGCTCTCACACCAAATGAATGTGAAAATCAAGGTTTAGGTTATTTGTTTACTTTTCTTTATCATTTCTTTATAAATTTATATAATAGGTTTTTGTTACTTTGTCTCTAAAAACAGTAATCTCTCTCTCTCTTTCTAAGTTTAGACAGCGCATTTCCAAGGTAACCTAATGTATTTAGGAGGGTAAATTGCAATATGCAGAGTAATAATTGCCTTCTTCGTTAAAGCATCATCTGCAGTTTGTCAGCTCAAAATACAGGAAACAAAGTTAGATCGTAAAAGGGTTTTTAAGTTTAAGAATACGGCCTAGTGATGGTTTTGAAATGGACTGCATGTGTTTCAGTTATGGGCTAGAAGTGACCTTCAGACAGACCAGGGGGCTTATGAACACTAATGCAGTGTTTCCTTTACAGATGAGGGATTGCCCTTCATCTCCAGGACAGGAAAGACAAGTGACATGACAAAAATAAAAGGATGGAGAAACAAGTTCATAAGAAGCAAAGAAACATCTCCTAACTGTGATGGTATGGCTCATCACATTGTAGTTACCGTGTCCCTTTTATCACACAGTGGGATTAGTATTGTCAATCTAATTCTCAAAAGATGAACTGAACTGAAATCAGCTGAATATGCTTGTCCGATTCATTAATTTTCATTGAAACATTAAAGACTTTTGTTTTCTTCCTCTCCAAAAGGGTTACAAAAGAACCTATCAGCCTTCTGCAGCAACATGTTGGATGAGTACTTAGAAAGCGAAGCTCAGCAGATCAGCGAGCGCGCTGCTGCCTTCTCAACAAACCCAGAGGGCTCAGTGGCCTATCAACTGCCTACTAAAAGCTCCAGCTATGTAAAGACCCTGGACAGCGCACTGAAGCACAGAAACACTGCTTCCAGATTCCCAGCGGGGGTCAACAGACCTTGTCCCCTTTCCCACAAACCCCTCCTCTACTCTGCCCTGTCATCACTGCCTCTTCCTGTGGCCTCCCCTGTTCTAGCAGAAGCTCAGTCCATAAAGCAGTCTACGTCTTCACATGCACAGGCAGGAGCTGTGTTGGCGGCTGGTGAAAACACTAGTTCTGTTACACCGAGGTAAGGACGTGCTTGTTTTAAACCAGTTTCTCAGTGTTTTTCCAGTTTCATTTATTTAGTTCTTCCACAAAAGTCTTAATTAATTGAATGGATTGATTATAGAACATGTTAGCATGATATGTGTTGCCTGGTAATCGCAGTGAGATTTTGTAGAAGTAGTTCAAGAAAAGGGAAATATCGTCTCAAATTGCTGCTTGCAGTACATTATTTTACACAATTAGTTAGCTACATTAGCTACCACTTGTCCTTGGTTCTTGTAATGGCCGACTGCAGCCTCACCAGATGTGTTCATTCATAAACAGTTTGATTTTTCTGACTGTATTTACTTGTTTTACTTGCTCAAGATGTAATCCTGGGAAATCCTAGCCTTTGAGATTATTTTTGAGATGTTTTTGTTTTTCTCCTCTTTTATACACAAGGGGGTCAGAATATTAGGAACCCCTCTCAATGCAATGCAATGCAATGCAGTCCAGCACCACCTTTAATTATGTGCTCAACAATAAACATAATTAAATATATACATTTCTGATTCTGAAAACTGAATCACTATGAGCTTCATAATGTTATGTCAGGGTTGTTGTATTGTACATACTGTATGCTTTGTGGCAGTATATGATACAGTCTAACTTTTTGGGAAAATAAAATGAGCAGCACAAATCTTATTATTACTTCCTGTCTCTTCAGATTCTCTACAAACCTATCAGGGGTGAGCCAGAGACCAACTGGAGTGTCACATAGACCTTCAGGCCTCACCAAGTTCCAGTTCAGACTGATGCAGATGGAGATGGGTGCCCTGAACCAGGGTCTGAGCAGAACACAGCTGACTGAAGACAGGGTGTCAGTGGCCTTGTCTGTAGTCCTGACAAAAGAGGTATGCAACATGCTGTATAGAGGAAGTGAACTCTGTCTGGCAGAGTGTGACGTGTCATGTCATTTGATATTACTGGTGGGCTGTGTCAGTGCCGATGTCATTCTTTTCATATTTATAAAAAAAACCTTCAAAGGTAAATATTGCTTTTATGATATAACATGCAAATCAGTGAATAACAGGTATTGACTGTCCTCTACTTTGCTTTTAAACAGATGTTGCCTAATCAGGTTTTAAAAGTTGCCCAGTATCCAGAGTATGAAGCTACAGGACCTGAATGTGGTGAGGAGTTCTGCATACTGGGCTGTGTGTGTTCCAGTCTTCAGCATCTGAGCAGAGACCCTCTCCACTGCCGGCGGCCCGAATGCATGTTCAGCTGTGCCTGCTTCAAAAGCAAAATCACTAAGCAGATGTCCCTAGGAGAAAATGAACAGCAGATCCCACATGTTTACTGTAAGATCAAGTTATTATGGTACCATTCATGCATTTTGTTCTTCTTCATCTGACTGCTATATCTCTACTGTGATGGTTTCAGAATAGATCTTTGTGAATTGAATTTTTTTTAACTGCATTTTAAACCCCTTGCAAAGCAGGTGAATCACATTATTTCAGTAATTGCATAATTTACCAGGAGTGCATCTTTTTTATGTTTTTATATTTTGGTCACAGAACTTTTATATACAGATGATTTTTTTTTTTTTTTCCTGGTTTAGCTTCTTTTTCTTGCTCAGTTTAATCACAGCCCTCCAAAACTCAGAATTGTTAACAAGATGCTTTTTCCCTCCCCAGCTATGACTAATATGGAACATGTGGTCCAGTCTGACCCAGGCTCTCTTGTTAATAAACTGTGGAACCGCAATATTCACGATGTGGATCCAGAGCCGATCTTTGCCCCCAAAAGTCCTCCTCAGTGTTCAGTCCCATCAAAGGTCCTAAAACGCAGCAGTGTACCTCGTCCAGTGCAACCGGTAAAATAAAGTCTTTCTCTTATTGAATTCAAGTAAGGCTTTTCTTTCTTTTTTTAACATCTTTGTATTAAAAGGACTTGATTCATGCATCAGTCTTATAAAATATTGCAGATTACGTACTAGAGTATAAGACATGAGACCTGTTTTGTTAATTAAACCTGATATTTCAGATACGAGAAGAGGACAAGGATCCAGTGTATAAATACTTGGAGAGCATGATGACATGTGCACGTGTTAGAGAGTTCAACAGCAAGCTTCCACCTGCAGTCACCATGGAGCCAAAGATCTCGAATATTTCTACAGCAAAACCACAAAAGACAACCACTGACAACCTTCCGAAACAGTACTACAGAACTGTAACTGCTAAAAAATCAGGTAAAGAAAAGAACAAGGTGCAATTAATATATAATACGGTCTTTGTTTGTACTGTAAAGGTTTTATCAACTGCTGAAATTATGCTATACTGTGGGTATTTTCGTGTTTTCCTAGTCTGCAAAGTCTTTTCTCCTTTGTGTTGACTGGAGGCACTAAACTTTAAGGTTATTTGTTGCTCAACATCACCGTATTTCCTCATGTCCCCCAGCAGAAAAGAATCAGGAATCTGCAGCCAGTGAAACAAAAGTCAGGAAGCAAGTACAGATCCAGTCAGCGTGTGAGTGGGGCAAGAACCGCAAAATGGTCCTGGAAACTTTATGTCGGCGTATGAATCAGAACAAGTTGTCTCAGTCTTTCTATGTAGGACCTTACCACATCCGCCCGGTCGCCAAGATCTTCATGCGGAAGCCCAGTGGCTCCATGGTCATCTACAGGGTACAGCTCTGAAGAATAGTGCATCTGTCTGTTTGTGTGATTTAACTCCAGTATGTAAAATATGTTGAGATGTTAAAAAAGGTTCCAGTTCTCTAGAAAGCACCATATTGTCTCTAGTAGTAGAAACGTTTCTGTAGTTGTCCAAGCGGCAGAATTATTTTTTCTTTTCTTCCCAGTTTGCTTGAATTTTAAATGCTCATGCTCAGCTCCACCTTCTTCTAGGTACACATCAGTAAACCAGCAAAGCTCGATGATGATGAGGATGACATTGATGACAGCGATGAGGAAAAGCATAACAGCGATGCAGAGGAGGAAGGCGTCCAATCTGAGTCAGTGATGCGGCTCGGAGTCATACCCTTCCTGAGTGGGGTTTTGCCTGCTGGAAGACTAAGAGCTAGGACCAAACCTTTGGGCTGCCAAGCACATGGGCTGATACAGGTCAGGGTCAAGGAAATGTAGTTATACCACAGGTAATATTGTTTTATCTGGGGTGGGGGGGCTACATCTAGTCATACATGAGTGAAGGCACAATAATGTCTGGGAAAAAATATGTACTTGGAAATGTAAACTTGAACATGTGTAAGTATCATTTATGTTTTGCTTCCATTACAGGTAAATGGTAAATTCTACAATCAGGCCAGACTGTTGCTTGGGAATATGGGATCTCTTCATCCTGCCAACCGCCTTGCAGCATATGTCACAGACCGACTGCGTACTCCTGGCAGCATTTGTCAGAAAAACTCTCAGAAGCCAGACCCTACGCTAAAAAACAACATTCCCGGTCCTCTGCACATAAAAGCTGCAGGCACAGTAATCCCTCCGATTATCACTGCACATAAAACCACTGATCTGAAGACGACGACACAACCACCAGGTAAGACTGTCTCTGCTCTTGGGCCACAGCACAAGCAATTCGATTTAAACTGATGGACTCTCGACTGAGGGCAAAGTAATCAACTAGAGAACACACACTCTTGCAGATACTGCAGAATATTGAAATCATCCAAAGAAAGCATTGGCATTCTTTTAATAATTTATGTCTCACTCCTCTGCCCTGCATTACTTTGTTACAGTTCAGTTATCCCAGCTCGACTCTTGTAGAAAAGGGTCCCTCACTTTTCTGCAGCATCCACAAAACTCCATCATTATCCCTGTCCGGTCAGTAGACTCGAGCCAAGGCAGCTTGGTCAACCCCTGCCAGAACAGCTCCATATCCTCGCCTGTCTCTCTCACCGTCTCCCCGTCACTGAAAACCCCCAGCTTCCTGGGACAGAGTGGGACCTATTCATTCAGGATCTGCCCTCCAGCCAGCCAGAACACCACAGGCCAGACCCTACCGGGTGTAACCCTGCCTGGGGGCTTCACCATCATTCAACTCCCAAAGCTTGGAGGTCATGGAGCTGCACAACAATCAGAAGCTGTAAACACCAGAGACATGGCTGGGATGAATAAAGCCCTGCCACAAAAAGATGCTGTGTTGAATTCTGGCCACTTATCAGCTGATTCAGATGCAAATTGGGCTGGTTTGGACATGTTTAATGAAGTGAAAGGCCCCTCAAGCGGCAGATCAGTGCAGCCTGGAACCTCCTTTGAGCTGACATGTGATGAGAAGATGCCATCAGATGAGAGTAATGAAGCCAGCAGCAGGGAGGTGGAATCAAACTTGGATATCGGCTTTGAAGACTTCAGCTCCAACTCCTCAGACTACTTTGGAGAGGGCGATGACGATGTAAGGAAAAAGGTTTTTTTTTTTCAGTTGAACATTTCTGTAAATGAAGTATGGTTTTAAATATAAAATGGTTCAGTAGAGTGTTAGCCAGTGTAGCCATTATATTACAGCTTTAAAAACTGCATTCTGAATGTTTCCTTCAGGATGAGCCACTGGACATTGAGACTGTTGAAGAAGCAAGACAAGGCCTGGCCATCGCCGAAATGAAGGAAGCTGTTATCAGGGCATTACAGGAGTCACGGTAATACATGTGTGAATGTGTGCTTGTGACATAGACAGTACAAATTGTGTGCTATTATATAAGAGGTATTTTAAGTTTGAGTTATGCTCTGATGCATTGTGTTCTCACCTTCAGAGATTCCAGTGATGATTTTGACTCAGCAAGGGAGCCTGGCCAGGTATAGCCATTTAACAAATGTAGCAACCACACAAAAACTGTGAATATTTTTAAAGTATTAACTTTTAACATGGCCAATGTAGACCTCATATTTAATCATTTTTTTTCCTAATAAATATGGAAAGTCTCATTGGTTTTATGTTATGCAGTGTGTTTTAAAGGGTAGTGGGAGTGTTACACGTGTTGCTCATCTCTACTCTCTCTCCACATCAGGATCAAATGGATGATGAACATGGAGCAATGGGGAAAACGAGGCGAACGAACCACATGGTGCTAGAAAGGCAAAGACGCTCTGAACTGCGAACCCTCTTTGACAAACTCCAGATTGTCCTTCAGACTGACCCCAAGGCCCCCAGGCTCCACCTCCTCTCATTGGTCAGCTCCTCGTCATATGAGCCAGTTTCACTGTTTTCAATTACAGCAGGCCACAAACTGCTACTTATTAAGAAAAAGTTTGATCATCCAGTCACAGCTCCGTGTCACCATCTTCACTGTTTTATGCTTGTTTGTGTTTGCAGGCTCTGAAGGAAATCCGAAACCAGGTTGAGAGATCCAGACGTCTGGAGGAGCAGAAAAAGAGGCTGATGCAGATGCATTCTGTCTATGTGAAACAGCTTTCTCTTTTGTCTGGTATGTACAGTTTCTGTTGCTGTATGTTTTTGGATTTTGTACTTAGCTTCCCTCTGTGTTGACTAGTTGAAAAGGAAATATGCTGTTGAAAATGGGTTAAAACAGCACAAAGGCATGCCTGTAAATCCTCTCGCTGTTATAACAACATGCACTAGATCAGTAGGCACTCGATTGGATGGTGTCTTAAATCATGAATCATGCAAAGTGATGAATGTCCACATGTGGCAGGCAGCCTTCATTGAAACTTGTGCCATGTGAAATGTCGTCTTTTTAGGGAAATCAGAGGACCTGATTAAATCCAAGCTGACAGACATCTGTGAGAGGCAGAAAATGAGAGAGAAGGCAATGAAATGGAAGCCTTTCTTTTCCCATCTTCTCCAGTCTAGAGCTGCTCTTCTGCAAGCCATTACTCCTGAGTCCAAGCTCCAGACCCCGCACCTATCACAGCCTAACATCAACGTGGCTGCATTTCAGGCTAACCCACACACAACTGCAGCCCAGAACAGTTCAGAAGTTCAGCAGATGATGCCCATGCTTCAGTTTCACCTACACAAGGCTTTAGCCCAGTCCAGTGTGCACACACCAATGACAACACCACATTCTCTGCCTCAAGCAGTGTCCTTTCCAGCCCAGGTTGAGGTCACTGCTGCTCCATCACAAGTGGAGAATCAGCCAGGTGAACCTGCGACCTCTGTCCAAGCTAGTCAACATGAGTCAAAGTCTGAGGACAAGCAGGAAGCAGTCAGAGTACCGGCCCTGGTTACCATGCCCAATGCCCAGTCTCAGGCCCACTCAGTTCCAGTCACACTTCAGATTACTGTAGCCCCAGATGGAACCTCACCTACAGCTGCAAAACCCAATTCCCAAAACCCCACTGCTCAGCCTGCACATCCCTTTACTCTTCCACTGATTCGTTCTAAGACTGGCAGAATCATACTTCCCTCATCTCTGAAACCTGGTAAGTTGCTGTATCTGTTAAGGCAACCTGTTTTGTATCCTGAGTCAAATTATTTAATTGTGTTGTTATAATAAAAGTTGTTTTTGTCTTATCACAGCTGGTCAAGGTTTCTACACACTAATGTTCATGAAACCTAAAGGAGAAGGGGGTAAGGTGAACTCTTCAACTAATAAGCAGACATCTGATGTGGAATTGTCCAAGAACCAAGAGGAGAGTTTTTCTGAGTCTAGCCAAACTTCATGCTCTGAAAGCAGCCATATTTTGGAGGAGAAAAAAATGGCATCTTCAAATTCTGATCCAAAGTGTTCTGGTCCAACAAACCCCCTGGCGGAGATTGCCAGTCTTAACAGATCAATCTATGAGGCTCTGGAAACTCTGCAAACAGCGGAGAACAGCCAGAATGAAGGCACAGAAGTGGGTTTGAATAAAACACAATCATCTGCCTGCTTGAGTTTTAAGTCTGTACATCAGATTCCTACACCTGTCGAGGCAAATCCCGATCCTAACCCTCCTGTAGTCCGCCGTCGCAGGGGCAGGCCTCGAAAGCACCCTGTTCCCATTCTTAGTAAAAATACACATACAGTGGTAGAAGAACGACAAAGTGTCACTGAGAGTGAAACATCTCTTCTGGCTGAAGAGAGACAAAGTGAACAACTCCCTTTGGAAGTGACTAAGACACCAGCTGAAGGAACCACAGAAATGGTTAGTGAAGTAGCAGATAACCCTGTAACAGTCAAGCGACGCAGAGGAAGGCCTCCAAAGAAGAAGCCAGCTCAGCTGTGCACTCTTCCACTCACACAAGCAGGAAGTAGTTCATCTAAATCCAATGACGACAGTCCTCTCAGACTTTCTGGCAGTTGTAAAAGTCCTGAAGCTAAACCTAGAGCAAGCCCTGCTGCAGCCGCCGTGCTTGGAGACCCTAACACATTGCGGCCATTAACGCGAGGTGCTTTAGGAAAGGATTTCCCCAGTGCCAAGAAACGCTCCTGGATTGACATAGAAAAGGAACTAGAACCAGATTTTGATTATGAATAGGCCCCCCTGTAGCTACAGAAGCCAGTACACACTGTTGTTTGACCTCAGTTAGTCTCACACTGAAGCCTCTCACCTCTAATACAGCAGGATTCTCACAGTCTTGCTTTCGACGGACTCTCCTTCTACGTTTATTAGTGCAAACGCAAGTCATATACTGTAGGTCACTGAAAGCCTTGCCAAAAGTGCCTGTGTGCAAATCCAAAGGACCAGTCAAATACTTTATGCTGCTCTCTTCTGTACATTAGCACACAACTCAGTGGATGGATTTCGTACTATACAGGCTGTTTTTTGTAAAAGGAATGTAAAAGGAATGATTAAATGATATGATATATGAACTTATGAATGAAAATCATGGTACTAATCAGTTTTGATATTATATTTTATAAGATTTCATCTATAAATGTCACAAGCATTCGTGACTTTTGTTCAAAGTATGTTTTTGTTGACATTATTCCTAATCTCTTATGAAAATAAAAGATCAAATGACGCAAATCCAGTATATTAACTCTTACACTCTATGTGTATCTGGAGTAAGCTCAGTATGTTTCAGTAACTTTATGAAATGTAAGTGTTAACACAGGTCCATTTTTATGAAAGCTAGTTTTATTCCTATTTCCTAATCTGTGCAGTAGTCTCACTTTAGCTCCCATGATATCTCTTTAGTATTTGGTTTGTGTAGTAACAGTGGTGAACCACATTTTGGGGACTTCGGTCATGCATTAAACCAGATGTGTCCCAAGCAGTCAAGATGGAAGGCATTAGCCATATATATGTTGTCAATAATAACCTGTAAATATTGTAGTTCTTTTTAACTTGCAATATCTTTTCATGTATAATTTTGAAACACTGGCTCTCTTACTTCAGATAAATTGAAAATGTGAAAAATCATGTATCATGTGGCCTTAAATAAATAAAGTGCGTGCATTTATTATAGCATCTTTGTCACAAGGCATTTTCATGTGTCCTGTCCTATGTTTTTTGAAGATCATTTAACAGACTAACTTATTTTATAATGCAGTTATCTTCTGTTTATTTCAGTTAATGCAGCATTTTAAACACATTTTAATCAAATCCCGTCTTCTGTGCAACTGCTGTGCAAAATTGTAACAAGGGCCTTTTGTGTCTACATAACAGATTTTGACTATCAGTACAGTTGGTTGTCATTATATTTTTATGGTAACAAAATAAGCAGTCCTAGTTACAGCTGTAGTTCCCTACATACGGGAGGGGGTGTAAATTATTGCCTGCCTGCCAAGTAGGAAAAGCAGATTGAAAAAGGAAGCATTGTAACATGTTGTGAAAAAGGGTAATCTATAATGCACTCTTTATCTTTGTAGTAACCATGCTGAATTTAAATATGTTGTTTGATTTTTGAGAATCTTAAATGTAAATTACATTTAGTCTCACTCCATTGCTGAAATATTTGAAGTTGGCAAATTTAAAGTAACAGTACTACACACTGCTAGTTTATACCATTTGGTCATGGTGAACAGCATAATCGAAAAATGATTCGTTTTACCACAATGAATACAACACTGTGGTTACTCAATGTTTTTTTTTTTCTGTGAATGAGTTAGTATTTATCTACTGGGCTCATGACGGACGACAATGTTGTCTCGCTCTAACCTGCAGTACTGATAACATATACTGAAGCTGCTTTTAACTCCTACTATCACCAAAGTGAAGAGTAAATACCTGGCAGTCTGACCCAACCTCATACAGTGTATACATAGGCTAACCTGCTGTGGCTATTGGTAGTTTCCATTTATATCAGAAAATAAGAATTCTCTGACGAAGTCAATACTTTATTCAAACATAGCAGGACTGCCAGTTAACAGCTCTATGGCCAGGTACAACGACAGCGTTTACGTGATATCCAACATCACGCGAGACAATTACAAAATAACGCTGAAAGTTGCGAATAATGTACGAGGTGCGAAGTTTTCCATAGCAAAATGGCGTTCGAGAGTGAGGATGAGCTGCGTGCGGGTGAAAACTTTATCCTCAAGCTGTTTTGTAAGACGTTTTCCAAGACGGTTCTGGTTTTCAGCGAGTTGAACAACTTACAGAGACGCGTGAGGAACTTTAGGAGACGAGTTAATGAAGAACTGGAAAACAGTAGGGCTGAATATAATGCGGCTACTCGCCGACGATGGAGACGCTACATGAAGCTAAAGGCTATAATGACAACCTGTGCTTTGCGGCAAAGCCAAAGAAAAGCGTGGAAGCTGGAGCGGCCACACGGACAGGTGTTTTGGTCAAGTGTTCTGAACAACTTCGACGATAAGCAGTGGAAAGAACACTTTAGCATGTCGCGCAGTACTTTTGAATACGTGCTACAACTTGTGAAAGACACATTGAAACAAAAAACAACTCGCTGGCGAAAACCCATCGAACCTCGGCGGAGACTGGCTGTTACTTTATGGTGGTATGCTACACCCAGTGAGTACCGAACCATCAGTGGCCTGTTTGGTGTCGGGCTCTCCACCGTGTGCGTGTTGGTGCGCCAAGTAACAGCAGCGTTGAAATCCACCCTCCTCGAACGTTTTGTCCGCTTGCCAGAAGGCGAGCGTCTGGAGCAAGCTCTCCAAGGGTTTGCCGGACGAGGTTATCCAATGTGTGCTGGTGCCATCGGTGGGACTCACGTTCCTGTAATTGCTCCGAAGAAAGACCACGCTGCTTATTTCAACCGAAAAGGGTGGCATTCCATTGTGATGCAGGCTGTTGTGGATCACAAGTCCTGGTAAGATCTTATAACTTGTGAAAATTAATCACGAATAGTCATTTATTCAATAAAAATGTATAGTAGTTCATAATAGTCCTAGCTTTATAGTATTGAGCTCTATGAATCACAGTATGTTTTGCTGTTCCAATTGTCGTAGCTTCACAGACATATATGTAGGATGCCCTGGTAGTACGCATGATGCAAGAGTGCTGGCCGATTCCCCGCTGTATAAAAGGGCAGAAGATCAAGCTGGGTATTTGTTTCCTCGTGAGGTATGGCATAATATTTTATCCTTGAACTTATACACCAATCAGGCATAACATTATGACCACCTGCCTAATACTGTTTACATAGGAGTCAATGTGGCAGTTGGTTGACATGTCTCTCTGCAGCTCACTGTGCATCTTCTGTGAATGAATTTGCTTCCACAGTTCTACTGTCAGGAAGAGCACAGATGTGTCTACAATTCTGTGAAAAACATATGTAATAAGAGTGAAAACTGTGGTTGTGAGGATGAGTCAGAGGGAATTTTTTTTTTTTTTTTTTTTAGACCAATTCAACAGCCTCACCACTCTAGGTGTGATATCACCGCTACAGCCCTTGACTCTTTCTCTTCAGAGACCAGTGTACAGTATTCCTCATTTTCAACCATTTTAAAGATTCAAATTTTAATCTTTTGAAAAACAAATGGAAGTTCAATGTTTAAACTACAGTAGGGCAACCTCATCATCAGTGAGCCGTGGACGTCCATGACCCTGTCGCCAGTTCACCATTTGTCCTTCTTTAGACACTGTTGGTAGGTACTAACCACTGCAGACCAGGAACACCCACCAAGACCTGCAGTGTGGGAGATGCTCTGACCCAGTCATCTCACCATCACAGTTTGGCCCTTGGCAAAGTCACTCAGATCCTTACACTTGCCCATTTTTCCTGCTTCCAACACATCAACCTCGAGGACTGAATGTTCACTTACTGCCTAATACACCCCACACATTGACAGGTGCCACTGTAACAGATAGTCAGTGTTATTCACTTCACTTGCCAGTGGTCATAATGTTATGCCTGATCGGTGTATGTACTGGCTATTCTCAAAGTTGCCCAATTACTTAACAGACAGAGACTGACTTCTGCTTTCTTGCACTGCTGTGTCCACAGATGTCCACGATGGTTAACGGGGTGGAAGTTCCTGTGCATTTGATAGGAGATCCTGCTTATCCTTTGACCAAGTGGCTGATGAATGGCTTCACTAATCACCATTGCCTCACTCCTGAGCAGCATAACTTCAACTACCGCTTAAGCTCTGCACGAATGGTTGTGGAAAATGCCTTTGATAGATTAAAGGGCCGATGGAGGTGTCTGCTGAAGTGCAATGTCATCAACGTTGAATTTATTCCAGACATTGTGGCAGTCTGTTGTATCCTTCACAATGTGTGTGAGCTCAAGAAGGACACTTTCTTACCGAACTGGAACATAAATTCCTATGAAGGTCCACAACAGCCTGCTACAGATGTGTATCAGGGGGAAGTAGTGCCTGGTGCACAAGCTATTCGTGAGGCTATGATGTCAATTTTGTAAATGTGACAGTAGTTTTAATTTTTTTGGTTTGGTTGTGCATTTCAGCAAACCACACAATTGTAGGTATAAAAATAACTAATAAAACTTTTTTACATTTAACTGAAGTGTTGATATATTCTCTAAAGATAAAAGGAAATTGGTGTAGCCCATTCTCGCCCAATCGTCATCATCATGGAACATAAATAGCATTAGTGTCTAGCATTCTCCCCTTTTAGCCAGAGTGGGGAATGCATATCAATAGGTGAAGTCAGGTTATTTAAAACTTTTTTTTTTTTTTTTTTAAGATTACTAAGAAAACCACCTAAAATTCTGATTACAACCTTGTTACTTTAAGAACTCATGGATCTCTGCTATGTTTCAGAAAACAAAAAGTAAAGTGCTTTAGAAACTTTGAACTGTCAAACACATCAAGTGTCCCTGTTACCTCACTCCAATGACATGTTCAGGTAAAACGGGGCAGTGAGTAATCGTTAAACAACACCAAACAATTCAGCTTATTTGAAGAACAATTGCATTTCATGTTTTTTTTTTTGTTTGTTTTGTTTTTTTATGGTTAAATGCATTGACCAGTGCAGTCCTTTAATTCATAAACTGTTATTTAAAAAAAACTGAGACCCAGCTAACAAGGCCTGTAAAGAATTGGCAAATTGTCACATCACCCTGTTTTAAACATCCTATGAATTAACTTAAATGAAATAAGAACATGACCACATTTCATCAATAATAGCCTAAATGTATATCCCAGTAAACACAGTCTGCAAACAACAGCATCATCAAAGATCTCATTGTCTTCACCGTACCTATCGGGGAACCACAGGAGATCCCGGCCTCCCTGGCTTTGGGGTCACTTTGTCTCCATGAGATATTTTGTAGGATCTGCAGGGATGCCCATTTTAGCAGGTGCTCTCTTTGTATGTAAAGTGCTCTACTGTGGCCGACATGCACTCACTGTATTGTGATTAATAATTTTAAGTGACAAAATACTAAAAATGTAATATGACAGGGTGACCCACAATGATTCATGATTTTATGGCACCGGTGGCCTAGAAAAGTGATTTCACTTCAGAAAAATGTCACAATTTAGGTTGTCTTTCTCTTTTTTTTTTTGTTCCAGTTTAATGCATCTAATCCATTAAAAGTAAAGTGTATTGTTAAAATATTTGGATTAAATCTTGGACATTTAATAGGCTACAATGCAACACCTTACAACACACCCTTACTGTTTTACCTGCAGTACCCTTATTACCAAAAACAGCAACAGCATGCCTGGGCTAGCCCTGCACGTTCTGGGACCAGTGATATATTTATTTATTTAAACTCTTTCCTCCATCCTTCGTCATTATCTCAGACCAATCAAAATGGTTGTTTCTTGTAAAGATGATTGTAACAACAATATAATAACTGCTAATATTTACTGAGCCCACAATCTGAAACCTTATTTGTCCCATTATTTGCCTGATGTCTCAAATTACCTGACTTCACCCCACAACACTAGCTGCAGGACTCAGGGCTGTGTTCAGACTATAGCCATGAAATGGAAGGATGTAACCGAAAGTGTTATTAAAATAATGTTAAGATTTGAATGTTATTTGATCATAAGGTTGTATAACCACTAATGTAATCATTTATATATGTCAGATCCTAAATGCATGTAGCCTATAGGCTATTATATAATGTGGAGAAATACTTCTCAGGTAAAAGACCCTTGTTTATACTGAGTAGGCACTTTTAACCTGTTATACATTGTTTTAAAATAGCCCTATACAGTATATTGAGCATACGCATACTGTACCGTCACATCATGTAGGCTTATAGGTTGCTTTTTGGCTAAATAGTGGAAATATTAGCTTCAGATGTAACCTGATTAGTTGATTGACTGATTTTTGTTGTATTATTATATGAATAATTATACATAAAACATTATATCCTAATTTTAAAATGAATTCCCTATATCACAGAGCAAAGAGTAAAGAAAATTGGAAATTAACTTAAGCAAATATTCCTGTAACAGATAAGCGAACTGTTATCACCCAGTCAGCAGCCAAAACAAATGGCTGCCCTGTCATTCAGCTCTACCACTGCCCACGCTCTTTGTCTAATCCTATTAAATCAGCTAGGTTCAACAGAAACAACAGCAGTCATTGATGTAATCATGAGACCGGTGCAGGTTCAGATTAAACAAAGTGATGTTGTGCAGACAAACAGCAGAGTGGAAGCCTTTGTCTCCTGTTAGTACGAAACACAGTGTTGAGACGAGACGACATCATTCCAGAAGTGAAGAGATGAGCGGCAGCACAAATACTTGATGTGAAGGTCCAGGCAGAAGAAGAGGACAGTTAACCCACTCAACAGATTAGTGCGCAACAGGAAAGCTACCTGACTTTGTAGAGCTCTACACTTTGTCTGTAGTGAGAGAAGACAGTCAGCAATTGTCACAGTGGTGCCACTGGGCTGCAAACAAAATGCCAGGTGATGGACTCACAATAAAAAGTCGCATCAGGAATTTGCTGCGATCTCCCTCAACCAGGCACAAGAAGAAAAGGAAAGAAAATCTTACTAGCAAGGTAACCATAAACCTCTTTAATAGATAGTATAACTGATTTTCTAAGTAAAGTAACTTTTCGTGAACAGGAGAATTATAACCTAAAGCCATAATAAGCTACTCCCGCTGTGGAAATATACCATAGATATTTTTAAATGGGAAGGTACAACAGTATAGGCTACATATACAACTTTAAGGTTGCATACTGTGGAGAAAAAGGTACCACTGTTTAATCAGACACCTTTTATAAGTGATTTATGAACTGTACCTTAATAAATTATGCTTTATGGATGAGTTCTAAACAATTAAGGAGAACAACTTTTGGATGAGGAGTTAGCCTGCTCAAACATTGGCCTGAGTGGACAGTTTAATGTGTTTATTAATAATAGCTAACAATTGTAACAGCGTGATTACAAAATGGAAAGTATAAATAGTTGCAAAAGGGATTTTTTTTTCACAACCTGACAAACCAAAATTTGTTCTTAGTAATGTCATACAACTGAAGTTTTAAGACTAGTATTAGTTATTAACCATTAATAAAGCCATGGACTCGGGTACATTCATATGCTCCTCCAGATTCATGAATGACACTAACAGCTGCTTTGTAGCTCCCTAGGCAGACAGCATGGCTTGCCAAGTCGGCTATCACCTCTCTGTGTAATTTCCAGGTTACATCTGATCTTGCTTAACTGTCCAAAAGAGAAATGTTAACGCTCATAATACATTTTTGCTTCAAGGTTGTTGTTGCCCCTGTGTTGTGTGTGAATCTTGTCAGTGCATGACACAGTTTCATTGATAAGAACAAGTCCACACTGAATAAAGCCAAAGCTTCTGTGCAAGTGTGAACAAATTAACTAAAGAGCTAATAAATCAATTATTTTAGATCGGTCTCAATTCAGAATCATTGCACTACAGGGAGATTATTGCTTAGTTACATTGCTGCTGGTTTGAGTTCTACATTTATCTTTCCATCAAGCAGCTCTACTTCCACTTCTGCAGTAAGAGCAAAATGACTGAGCTCAGGTGTACCCCTGTTTTTTCTCCACAGGTGACTTTGGAGAAGGTGCTAGGAATCACAGCTTCAGGAAACAGCGGACTAGCCTCTGACCCCAGATCTGGACTTGTAGCCTATCCTGCAGGGTAAGAAGACACATCATGACCTCAGCATCTAACCTTTGACTTATCAACACTCCATGCATGTGCAGCTTCCTTATCATATCTATCTCATGCAGATGTTTAGTGTGCAAACATGTGTCTCTGTACTATCTAAGAGTAACTAAGGAGAGGAGCTCTGTGGCCTTTCCCATCAGAGAAGCTCGAAAGCTTCTTATTCTCCTGTGTGCAGGGAGGCTTCAGTGATGCACTGATATATAAAGCATTGTGTAGTAGTATTGAATCTGTGCAAAAAGTGACACTGGTTGTGTTAACGTTTTTCAGGGCAGAACAAAAAAAATTAGATGTGTTAGCTGCAGGTTGGAGGATTTACCCTAGATTTACAGTGGTGATGCTCGGGGCCGTCAGAGCCGCCGCACCACAGCACAGAGTATTAAGACAAGCACAGTGGGTCCCATGAGGCTTTAACAGAAACGCTGTACTGAACCTCATTTCTATTGCTTTCAGATCTTCTGACAAAGCTGCATTAATTCTAAGAAGGCCAATGGCTGCAAAACAGAGAAGAACCAGAAATGTTTACACTGTTATTGGCTCAGGGAGTGTATGTTTGTGATTGTGTGTGCAGACATGGGCACATATGCACATACAGTATGTGTGTGTGTGTGCGTGTTTTTGTACTTGCTACAGAGTAAGGACACTTTAGCTGGTCCTCACGTCCTGAAACACCTTTTTGAGAGTTGACACTTGGTTTAAGGGTTGAAGTGAGAATTAGGTTAAGTGTTAGGGTAAGGGTTAGGTATTAGGCAAGGGTTAGAGTTAGGTAATTAGTTCTGATGGTTAAGGTTAAGGTTAGGGGCTAGGGAATGCATTATGTCAATGAGTGTCCACAAAGACAGAAGTAAAAGTATATGTGTGTGTGTTGTTCTGATTTTAGCAAGCTTTATACTTTGCAAACTGTGAATATTATAACAGTGCACCTGCTTTCTCAGTTTAAATTGGTACAAGCTGAGGGACCAAGAATGCAGTTTCCTGGCACAGAGCTAAATGATTAGCAGTTGTGTAACAGGGGGACTGCAGATCTGTATTGCTGCTCTTGAACAGGCTGTAATAAGAAAGTTTTATTAGCAGGAAACACTTTGGCTAGCTGTTTCCTCATTTTCAGTTCAGTTTTCAGTTAAATAAACTAACCAACTGTAGCCTCATATTTAGGACCCAGATGACAGAGTGGTATCAATCTTCTCATCTAGTTAATTTAGTTAATTAAAGTATTAGCCTAAATGTATTACCAGAAGAGTAAATACACAAATGAGAAAGTCAGTTAATTCTCTGGAAAAAAGAAGAAGAAAAAAACTTTATATATACTGTATGTGGATTATTGTATATTTTTTCCTTTCTTTCCTTATATAGATGTGTGGTAGTCTTGCTAAACCCCAGAAACAACAGACAGCAGCATATTATCAATACTTCAAGGTGAGTCGAAAACAAATCCAGTCTGAACATTAAACTGTGAAAACAGAAAGACAACCAGAACATAACTCACACTGAGGTGTCTGTCTCTGTCTCTTTATCTTTCACAGGAAAACCATTACAGCATTGTCCTTCTCTCCTGATGGCAAGTACTTGGTGACAGGAGAGGTGAGTCTTCTTGTTTGTCAGTTTTCTTTTTTCATCTCTATGGTTATTTTATTATCGTCATATAAATGTAACACCTTGCATTATTCTGGTGTAGTCATATCACTGTTCAAACATATTGACAACGCATCACCACTTTCATCCTGTAAAAGTAAAGCCAGTGCGCAGTTAGTTAATGAGGATCATCTGCAGTATTCACAGGTTATTATATCCTCACTGTTTAACGGGCCCAAGTTTAGTCACACTGCAACATCTCTTGTCAGTCAAGCACCTTATGGTGCTGACTCAGGTTTGCTGTAGTTACAGCATCTGTCTCAACATAACACACAACCATCTTAAATCTTTCTCTTTCGTGGGCACTGTAGCTGTGTGTTTAGCTGAATGGACATCCATTCTCAGCCTCCTTCAAGCTGCCTTAACCCTTATCTTTGAAAGGGTCATTTGACCATATTAAAATAAAAGGCCACACAAATACCTTGCTGCCCTTTTGATCCCTGGGAGCAGAATAATGTCAGGTGCAGGGACAAATAACTGTATGCAATGAACAGAGGACTCTTAGAGAGCTGGCTAGACTGGAGTGACAGGTGGGTAGCCTGTTCAACTGGATTTAAATACTGGAGACAAAAATGAGCCCTTTGTTAAATTTTTTTTCTTTTACATAACCCCCTGTTGTTTCTTCTCCACATCCCCCTTTCATTTTCACCAGAGTGGGCACCTACCAGCAGTGAGACTGTGGGACGTGGCAGAGCAAAGACAGGTGGCGGAGCTCCAGAAGCACAAATATGGTGTCTCATGTGTGGCTTTCTCCCCCAACAGCAAATACATTGTCAGTGTGGGAAACCAACATGACATGATGGTCAATGTCTGGGTGTGGAAGGTACTTTTAGCCTACAGTCAGCTCCTCCTGCCAAGGCCTTTTGTAATGGAAACATTGGACAGTTTTTGTCATATTTGATTGTAAGCTATGGAAACAGCCAGGCTAACTGCTGTTGGCTGCTTACTCTAGCTTCATTGTTAAGATACAACCATGAGAGTATCAATCATATCTTATTTCATCTAAGTCTAATAAAAGCTAATTTATGCCCCAGAGCACTATTCAGACCCAAATGAAAAAAAGGTTTGTGTGTACCTTGTGTGGCCACTGTGCAGCAGTGATGTCTCCGGCCAGGAGTAAAGAAGGAGCAAACGTTAACTCACAGATATTATATATATATATATTTATATATTTAGATGTATTTTTGGATTTGTTCTTTTGCAGAAAGATGTTGTTGTAGCAGCCAACAAAGTGTCCAGTAAGGTGACAGGTGTGTCTTTCTCTGAGGACAGCTCCTATTTTGTAACAGTGGGGAATAGACACATCAAGTTCTGGTATCTGGATCACTGCAAGGCGAGCAAGGTATTCGATTTGATTAATCTTCTTAAAATCTTTTTAACCGGAGACATGTCCGTCTTTGGGCGATGTCTCACTGGTGTGTTATGGCCGTCATGTACAAGAGATGGCGACATTTTCTTTGTACTACTTTCAATTCTTTGTCTACCTTCAGAATAATCAATCTTCTGCTAAACATTTTTGCACAGTGTGAAACTTTTCATTGCCTTGAAAACTGTCCAAGCTGAAAAAACTATTGGAGTTTGTTTTTGTCACCATTCCTGATTCATTGTTACAGAGCAGAGTGTCTTGATCAGTGAACTTCACACACTTATCTGATTCCTATGAAATCTCTGACACTCCAGAAACAGAAAAATATATGGAGAATAATTTAATAAGATTAATAACAAATTTAATTGTGAAGGACATAGCTTTCCATTTCCTTGCTAGTTTTAAAGCTTGTTTTCACATCAAAATGTGCAAATTTTAAAACCAGCATAGAAAATGAAAATCCACACATTTCAGAAAGACTGGATGTGGATGTAATGTCAGCAGACACACAGCAATAACTAAGTTGTAAGTGTGAATACCACCACTGTTCTGCTGTGACCACAGTCTGAGCTTTATCAGCTAACCTCACCCCTCTGTGGTATTTAGGCCAGTGGTCCTGTCCCTCTGCTGGGCCGCTCGGGGCTGCTGGGAGAGCTGAGGAACAACTTCTTCTGTGATGTGGCCTGTGGGCTGGGCTCTAAATCAGACTCCACCTTCTGCCTTACCTCCTCTGGCCTGCTGTGTGAGTTTAACAGCAAGAGGATGCTGGACAAGTGGGTGGACCTACAGGTGAGTGACAGCGGCTGTACCCAACAGAAACACAGGGGTCACTTGTGCTGTTTAGCTACTGCTGTATTAGAAAGGACAGCTTTTTCCACCCATATCAAAACTTAAGGAATATTGATTGGGTTGTGCGACTTCATCCTTTAACTAGATATTATCTTAACTATTTTGATAAATCAGTGTGTTTCAGCATTTGAAAAATCACAATTTCTCCTAATATGTGTGCTCAAATTCATAGTTGTGTTTTAACTACAAAGGTGATATTTCTAAAAGTGATCCATTCAAACTGTGAGAGGATGGTCCAAATTTACGCTCAGTCATGAAGTGTCTCCTAGAATTCAGTCTGTTGTGTATTCGCTTTCTTGTCATGGGTTAAACATTAGAAGCTCAATACCACTTTCATATTTGTGGAATAAATAAGACAACAAGCAGCAGCTGGTTAGAATAACTGTAAGCAGGGGGAAACAGCTAGCCTGGCTTTGTCCAAAGGTAAATTAGTGTGCTGAACAGCAGCTCTAAACTTCACTATAGGTCTTGCTTTTTAAATTTGTAAAACAGAAGTGTTAAAAATAACACATTGTGGCTGGCACTTACTTCTGTTGAAGTCTTTGTGCTAATTTAAGAGTCTCCTGGCTGTAGATTTATATTTACACTTAAGCACCATTAGGTATTAATATTCTCATATAAATTTCAGAAGAAAATGAATAACGCTGCTTCCTAAAATTTTTAACTATGCCTTTAATGAATTGTGCTGTTCTTGTGTTTTTGTGTGTGCTTTTATTTTTTACAAAGTTTGTACTAACCATGCAAAGTTTCGCTTTGCTTTATTACTAGGCTACTTGTAATTGAGCTTTTCTGTCTTCAGAACAGTCCCAGTGTTGCCAACAAGTTACGCTTAAAAGCTAATTGGCATCCTGGCACTGCTGAAGGTCAGATTTATAACTCTGAAAGGCCACAGAGGCTACATTGCTAGTTTTCATGAAACATGCCTTTTGTTCTTTATCAATTCAGTTGGTGTCTATATCATTAATGAGGTATTTCACTTATTAAATGTACTAGTACCACTGTTAAATGTGCAGTAGAGTGGCCATAAGAAGTAAGTGATCCCTTTGGAATTGTCTGCTTTTATGTATAAATTTCTTTTAAAATATGGTCAGATCTTCTAAGTTAGTGAGCTTCTGTAACACAATGTGTTTTAACAGACAACACATAAATCTTCCTGTTCTTCATCTGTTCTATCATTCAAACTTTCACAGTGTAAGTTGGGAAAACTATGTGAACCCCCAGGCCAGTGACGTTAACCAAAGCTAACTGGGGTCAAACGTCAGCAAACCTGGAATCCAGTTGATAAAACCAAATGAGAACTGTGGGTTGGAGCAACTTTGATCTAGAAAAAAAAAAACACTCAAAAACTTTGAGTTTGCTATTCATAAGAAACATCTGTTGATGTGAGCCATGCCTTGCACAAAATAAAGAATTTTGATTTACATGAAGCTGGAAATAGTTAAAATATTATCTCAAAGGGTTTAGATATTCAACAGGCCACAGTTAGACAATCTGTCTCTAAATGGAGATGAGTTAGTGTGTGGATACCCAGATAAAATGACTGCAAAGGCTCCAAAGTCCAGACTAACAGCTAAAAGCTAAATCCTGTCAGGGTGTCTATCAACCAGCGGAAGCATAGTAGAAGATTGTGATGTAGAAGAACAGTGAAAACAAAGACAATACAGCAACGCTTAAATCTGATTTTATGACTGATTAATGCAGAAAACCAGCAAACACACATTCAGATTGATGAAGATGAATGTGTGGCTCCTGCCTTCTGTCAAAGAATCAAAGAGGGATTAGCAGCAGTACCAGATGTGTTTGGAAGTATTCCAATGAGGACACATGCTCCACTACAGTACAACCTTTATCATTGATGCCAGGCAGAACATCAATGGTCTCATCTATACAAAACTGTAATATTTTGAGTTTGCAGGTTTAGAATTTACCCAATTTTAAGGCAATGGTAAATAAATTTTGGGTTTTACTGTACATGAAAGAAAATAGATTTTATCTGAATACCGTAAGTCACTGCTTGCCCACCTTTTTGTTAACCCTTACACTATTGTCAAATGATTTTGCTGCTCTGAAAGGGTTATCTTTAAATTAGCTTTGAAAAGAGCTGATGTGCCTGTTGTATCATGTCCTGCCTTGCAGACCAGCATGGCCCAGTCTCTGTCGCTATTTGAGGATATGATCTTCTGTGGCTGTGCTGATGGAACAATACGAGCCTTCAGCCCTGTTGACCTACACTTTGTCTGCATGCTGCCCCGGCCACACCCCCTCAACTGCGACATCTCGGCCATCCCCAAAGCCAGGTGAGGAAGAGCCCAGGAGTTTAAAAGCCCCCTGAGAAGTGATCCACCACAGGTCTATTTTTATTGCCTCCTGTCTCAAGTGGCACCATTTCACATTCCAGCTTCATTCTATGTTTTCCCAGAAACATAGACTCAAAATGTATTACCACTTTAAAAAGATATCTGTGGCTGTTTTTCCATAAACTTTAATGATGTACTCCAATCTCCCATCAGCCACCTATATTCCACTAAGATGGACGCCCGATACCCAGATGCCATTGCTGTTACCTATGACCCCACCAGCCACTGGCTCAGCTGTGTGTATAGTGACCACAGTCTTTATGTGTGGGATGTGAGAGATGTGAGCAGGGTGGGGAAGGTGCACTCTGCCCTCTTCCATGCTGCCTGTGTCTGGGACCTGGAGGTAAATACAAGCAGGAGGAAGTGCAGTGTGTTACAAAACAGTCCCCGTTTCAGAACTGAGTTAATAATTACAGTGGATTGATTAGGTTAATGATTTGGGGGATTGTGGGGCATTGATCCATACCAACACAAAACCTGAGCCACTTTGGGCAGTTCATTACACTACTGAACTTAGGACCAGTTTGGGACATATTAATTAATATTTTTAGAATGTTTTGTTGTTGGTAATTACATTGGATATGCTATATATTTTTATTACATTCTTATTCACACTTGTCAGAATGTATATGATATTTTTGAAATTTTTAATTTGAAAGTTTTTGAGCAGCATTTTATCTATGAGTTAAGGATGTGAAAGCTTGTCTGGGCAGATTTTTTTTCACTGACCATTTTCACAACCAGCAACAGCACTGGAATTCTTTATATCCATGTAGCCTCCAGCATTACATATTCCCTTGATCCCCCCCACCTCTCATCTTCTCTCTCATCCTTCCTCAGATGTTCCCAGATGCCCCTGGGGACATGGGCACTGGTTTGTCATCAGGTTCATTCCTTAGTTGCTCAGCTGATAACACCATCAGATTGTGGAATGTGGAGAACAGGACACAAAGTCATGCTCATTCTTATAACATCCTCAGCAGTGTGAGTATTGCATCAATATACAGTATGTATATGTCTTCAGGTCTTACATGTACATTTTGAAAGTGCAAATTCTCCCTCTGATTCTATATTTCTCTGTCCATCATTGCTTTGCAGGGTCTTATAAATATAATCTACATAGATGGAAACACTAGTTCCCTACTGGATCCAGAATGTATGACAAATGTGAATGTGGACAAATCGGGGGACGGACAGACAGCAGAAATAAGGACAGGCATCAGGACCATCTGTGTCAGTCCAGATGGCAAACACCTGGCATCTGGAGATCGCAATGGAATGCTGAGGTAGGACAAGAATGTTAAATTTAGACAGTGGACTATTCGGAGAGTTTGATTCCCAGGGCTCTCTGATAAGTGTGATTCACTCCACCTACAAAAATGTTATGTATATGTATTGTCTACAGGGTTCATGACCTCAGGACCATGGAGGAGATTCTTAAAGTGGAGGCACATGATGCTGAGATACTCTCTCTCGAGTACAGTAAACCAGAAACAGGTCAATATGTGCATATCTGAAAGTGCTACTGAACACAATGATGGCATGACTGTGGACCATTTGTGCACTGGCTGTGTATATTTTATGTGTTTAAATGATCTTACTACTGTCAGGTCTTAGGCTTCTGGCCACAGCTAGCAGGGACCGTCTGATACACGTCTTGGATGCTGAGGATGACTACAGTCTGGTACAGACACTTGACGAGCATTCTTCATCTATAACAGCTGTCCGCTTTGCTGGTGAGCCACTTGAGACACTGTCAACATTTGCCAACTGATCTTTTCTTTTTTCAGTCCCACACAGAGTCCTTCTTTTATTTAGCTTGCAGCACTGCTTATTTCAATTATAGATGACAGCTATAGGCTACATGTGTAAACATGTGGAGCTACTGTTTATGAGCAAACCTGTTCTCTTGTGTACTTTTTTATTGTTAGCACTGTTTTCTGTCTCTTACCTAGCATATTAGCATCAGTTACTGCCTTTGATTTTGAAATTCATGGTTTTTAAGCCACACTCTTGTGACAAACCTCCTATGTCATTGGACTTATTTATAAACTGTAAATTTGGAAAATTCTATTACTACCAGTCTGACAAAAGATAGCAGACATTCTGCAGTTCCCACAGGAATAATGCAAGAATAAAAAAAAGAAGTTAAAAAAGTCATCATGTAATAATTTTTCATGTTCATCAGCCAATGACAACGGGGTGAGGATGATCAGCTGTGGGGCAGACAAGAGCATCTATTTTCGTACTGCACACAAGGTAAGACAGGTCTGTGCAAGAGCCAGTCACCTTTTACCAAAAACGTGTCTTTCCATATATGGTGTAAAATGTCCAATAAACACATATCTGTAGAAGTGATAACAAAAAACACTAAGTGAAACTCACCTGTCATATACTTAAACTAGAACTACTGTTTATATATGCTGTATAACGTGCTAGTGTAGCTTAGCACTAAGGCTGGAAATAGGAGGAAACAGCTAGTCTGGCTCTGTCTAAAGGTAACAAAATCTGCTTACTGCTCTAAAGATCAGTATATTAAAAATATAAACTAAACCATAGTTTTTTTTTTTTAATAATCACATGTTCCCAGTATTTGAGGCTAACTTCTCCTGCAGCTGGTTTCTCCTGGCTTAACTGAGGTACACAGGGACACTCCAGTATAATTACAGGATTGCATAACGCACCAAATAAAACATTTCTTAATAAAACTTCTCACAATTCTTTTTGGTTATGAGAGACATAATGATGAGCTAATCTTGGTTCTGCATTCGCGCCTGCTTCAGTGCATTTGAATGAAATGGTTAATTAATTCCTCCCATTAAGAGCTGACTGCAGCATGACAGTAACACAACCTGTTTAGCTTCTGTTTGTAAATTCAGCTCTATGTATAGCACATTTGGATTACAAGTTGCAAAACTAAAAATGATAAAGGAGACATCAAGCACTGTTCTTAACTGTAGATTTGCTGCTTGGTCCCTGGGTTCTGCAGAGCTACATATACAACAAACCTAAGACACGATCCAGGCCGCTGCAGTGACTCAGAACATGAAGTTTTGTAGGGCACAATAAACAATAGCTTGTTAGTCTTGAGCAAAACATCTCCTCTGCATCCAGACATTTATGGAGCACTCATGTTAAAAGCTTGTTGTGACAGGTCTGTGCTTTCTACCGAAGTTAAATGAGCATCTTTACTGCTGGCTGTTATCATGCTCCATGTTTTCACATTTTCTTACTGAACCATTGTAGTCTTCTTTTCTTACCATGGCTGCATGATTGGATGTGCAAACACCAGTTTTTTCTGGTCTTACCATGCATATTCATCTCTCCAAACTGTAATTGAGGCCAGAGGTGTGTGTTCTGTCTTTAATGCATTTTAAATCATAGCAGCTATGTGTATATACCCACTTTTAAGATACACACATTGCTAATTATTAAAACTGATCTCTAAAGGTATCGGAATGCAAAGGTCAGATTACAGGTTTTGCAAAAAATACATGTACATATACTTAATTGTAGTTCCCTTATACCTAGCTATGTTTCTAGATGAGCTGCCAGATTAGTTGCTAACAATACAATTATAACTTCTGCATCACATCAATACTGGCGGAACATACAGAGATAGAGAATGTTAATGAAAGCTTCTTGCAGTCACTTGTACTTCCTGCACAACCAGGTAGGTGGTACAGCAAACAGTGTTTTAATGTCCCACTTTTAATCAGCACATTTCTATCTAATGCTGCAGCTGCACAGACCTGACAGTCTTTCTTTTTGTTTTTCAGACTGTCAGAGGAACAGAGTTCAGGCGTTCTCACCATATGGTGAGGAAGACCACTCTGTATGACATGGGTGTAGACCCTACCTGCAAGTATGCTGCTGTTGGCTGCCAAGATCGCTGTGTCAGGTGAGCGTGTGGCATTTATTCTGAAGGAGAAGAAGGTTAGTGATTGAAATTATTCTTAATAGAACCTTTTTTTTTAAATTTTGAAAGTTTCTGTTTCATCTGACTACAGGATTTTCAACATCAGTAGTGGCGAACAGAAGAAACTCTACAAAGGATCACTGAGTGAAGAGGGCAGTCTGCTCCGGGTAACATTTTTCTCCATCGCCCACACTCCAAAAGTCATTTCTTTCCTACAAACACAGTTCATAGACTATAAAACACTTTTATATTTGGTTTGGCAGGTACAGATCGATCCCTCAGGTCAATATGTGGCCACCAGCTGCTCAGATAAAAACATCAGCATTGTTGACTTCTACACTGGGGAGTGTGTCGCCACAATGTTTGGACACTCTGGTAATAGAACACAGACCTACGCCTCATATAGACATATAAAACACATATATTACACTTTTATAGCAGTAGGAAATCTGATCTATCACCTAAGATAATATAACTAACCAGCCATTGTTTTGCAGAGATCGTCACTGGCATGAAGTTTACCAATGACTGCAAGTATTTGATTTCTGTGTCAGGCGACAGGTGAGACAGTATTGTCCATGAAGTTGTACTAAAAATGATCAATATGCTAGCATATTTCTGAAAGGATTAACAAGTATTGGTTCTATATTTAAAACCAGATCTATAATAACAGTGGGATATCCAATTATGAATAATGTCAGTGCTACACCTCCTGCACTGGAATCAAACTAGGAACAAAACTGGGATGGGAGCAGCACAAAAACTGGAATCATCTTCAGTCTCTGCTATAGACAGAATGAGTGCTGAAATGTGTATGCACACAGCTTTCTCAACAGTCAAGCTAAAATGAAATGTTGAATTTTTAATGCCTGAATGCCTTTTATCTCCTAGCTGTATCTTTGTGTGGCGACTGGCTCCAGAACTGACAGTCAGCATGAGAGAGAAGCTCTGCCAGCTCCGACAGAATCTGAACACACCACCCTCCAGCCTCAGGTGATGAAATACACCACCTTCCACTGATTACATTCACTCCATAATCTTATTCAAAAAGTAGTCACCTGGAGAAAATGACCCCACTTCACACTTACTGACTGCCAGTGTAATCATCATTTTGTCTGACTCTCTCACTGTGCCACTCCAGGCAGGAGGTGTACAGCGCTCCTACTCTGGGTGGTTTGTCCTCAGACAGTGACCACAAGCAGGATGAGGGGGACACAGCAGAGAACAATGACCATGAAGATAACACGATTACTACTTCCTCTGACAGCAGCCATGGAGAGGACGACACAGGTACTGTCTAGTTTGTGACGTGAGTGAGAATACAAAGAGTGCTGACTCTAATCTAGATGTTTATCAAGGATAGAAGTGAACAGAGGAATGTCTTTTAACAGCTGTGTTTGTGCGTGTCTGCCTTGCTGCTTTGTCCCTGATATTTAACCTCTGTAGGACAACAACAGAATTTGAAACATCTAATCCATAAATTACAATTGTATCTGTAATATTTTTTTTTAACTTGTAGTTTTTGTGTCCTTTCATACAACAGGAGGATCAGATGAAAGACACAACTGGGAGGTTACAAAGGTAGGTGGTTATATTCAACGTGGGAAACACATCAGTTTAAATGAAATAGCAAACATTAGAATTAAATGTGTAGAACACTGTCGATACATAAAGCCATCCCATCATTTTTGCACTTGGTTTTTCCACAAAGAAAATTGGACAAATTCAGTGTTTATTTTTAAAATCTTAATGATAATAAGATATTTGTTTCACAGCAATAAGCAAGGTGGTAAAGAGTAAATGTTTATTTTGTAATATTCATGTTTTGAAAGGCCACTTTCACTTGAATGTGAGTGTCCACTGTGATAGTTTTTTTAAGTGTGTGTTCTAGTGTAATTAATTGTCATTAATCAAATTAAGCCACTAGATTAAAAACACCCCAAACCAAACAACTGGTCTCCCCTTAACTCGGTTCTTGTACATTTCCAACTCTCATTTCCAGCATGGAGTCATCAGCCAGGTCACCCCAGACTCTGCTAAGTGCCCTCGGAGGCGTTGGTCTCATCACACGGGCTCTCTGGAACTGGTGGTTAAATCTATGCTGGAACTGAGACAGCTGGAGACCTTTGCTAACAAGAAAAGCCCTGGCTGCACCGCTCATGACAGACCGCGAGGGAGCACATTCAGCCTGCAGGAACCCATGGTATGCATACATATGCGTGTAAGAGAAAGAAACTGAGGGGTGTTCACATGTTTGTAAATGTACAGAAGTAGCAGTTACAGCATTCATTTCTGCAGCTCCACTCACCTGCTCATTTTCTCTATTAAAGCAGCTGTTGGAAGAGACAGCCAAGCGGCATCGGCCACAGCCACACGCTGACTGGCTGTCCTCACACCCACCCAAGGGCATCAAGCAGACTGATGGAATTGCTCTGTATCCAAAAGAGAACAAGGATGACACAAGTCTACAGGGCAGGTACCTCCCTCCCCCACACAGTTTCACCAAGTAAACACAATGTCACTGAAAAGAACAAAAGTGCTATTTTTATTATGTATTCTTGCTTTTCCCCTCAACCTCTTTTGCTTATTGTTTCCACCTCACTGTGTTTTAATACATCAGTGATTACATGGTGAAGGAGATGCTAAAGTTATACAAAATGTCAACACATAGTGGTTTTCAGGGATAGTTTGTTTTGCTAGAATTTGTCAGAGCTGGAGTAGAGTGAGCTTGAATAACAGCCACTAAGGAATTTTAAAAAGATATCAAGGTCACATATGTCTGCTATTTCACCGTTTTTATTTGTCTACATTTCTGTTTCAAGTTATATCTTCTCAAAGTGTGTCAATGCAGGATTTAAAATGAAAGCCATGATATTGCTTCAACATTTAAGCAATATTATGTACAGTTCAGGTAGATGTATGTATGGTTAAGATGACACCCACAGAAAGGGATCTGAGCACACTGAGGCTGGGATTTTTTTTAGCTTCAGACCTGATAGAGATATGACAGATAACTCTGTCACATAAGGCTCCATTTTCTGGCAAGTCATTTGTTAAGGATTATCTGGTAGCCTACCTACCTGTTACGTGCAATAGAAGGCCATGGTTTGGAAATATTTTTTCTCTCTCACACTAGTGCTTCAGCTGTTCTTTCTTTTGCTTTCAGATTCAGCAGACGCAGAGTCCCTGAGTCAGGATAGCTCTGAGGAGGGGAATGAAGAGAGGGAGGAAGAGGAGCACAAAGCAGAAATGACGAGTATGGACGAGGCTCTGAGGGCAGTGACTGACCCTGCTGGTCACAATCAAGAAGATTTTCTCAAGCAGAACTTTGAGATTCTGGCAGAGAGCTGCAGCTTGGGTAGGACAGGGCAAACACACACATACAAATACAGATAAAAAACACATTATAAATAAGTCTGATAAACCACCAGACTCTTTTATGTTTCTCTTTCATTTTCTCTGTGTCCCCTGAGTGTCTTTATCACTCTGCTCCACTGACTATATATTTTCTTTTTGATTTTTTTCCAACACTTGATCCATTCACAGCCAAGCAGAGCAGAGTTCCAAGGTTCAGTATGTCTTCACAGTTCCTGGCCAGAGGACATAATAACAGGTAGTGCTGACCACTTCAGACCAGTATAGACTCACAGCTGTAATTCATACCTATGCATACTTCCCTGTATGTGTATTAGAGCATGGACCGGGATGCACATTTCTGTCTGACACCCAACCCAAACCTGACACAGTTGTGTTTATACAGTGTTTTTCCTCTTATTATTAAGCAGACATTTGCAAACCTAAGTCAATGTTTTTTTGAAATGTGATTATTCATGTTTCTGCTGAGAGTTGTGTCTGTGTAGTACAGTGAATCTGAAGCTACAGCCAGCAGTCAGTTAGTCTAGCTTAGCCTCAAGACTGGAAACAGGGACAAAGAGTTGCATGGCTTTGTTCAAAAGTGATGACGTTTGCTTGTTAGCTTACAGATGAAGGCTCCTCTGGTTGCCTGGCAACTGCTACTGTGTAAAAAAAGCCAATTATTGTTTTTATTAAACAAATGAGATATAATGTGATAATTAGTGATCTTTAGAGATGCTGGTACTGTAGGTGGATTTTGTTATGTTTGGACAGAGCCAGGCTAGCTGTTTCCTCCTGTTCTTGTGTCTGAAGTGATGTCGAAGCTGTTGTGTGGCATCTCAGCAGGGTAAATGATCCAGAGGGCGACAGAACGCCAACCCTTAGGCCCCAGAAGAAGAAGAAGAAGAAGAAGATGTCATGGTCCCACCTGTGGAAGCTGTCCAACCCTCCATCCAAAGCTACACTGCTACTGGACCAAGCAACATGTTTACAGAAATCACACTCTGCCCAGAACCTGCCCTCAGACTGTATGTTTCATTATCATTATCATTTGCTATATATTTGATACTGTTACTGATTTTTTTCATGAACTACATTAGCCCCATTAGGTGTATATTCTGCAGCAATTAAACTACCTCAAGAGTGTACACAGTTTGCATTGCTTTGTCTTTTTTCTTTCAAATATACACAACTAGTAATTTTAGGTATATTTTATCTCACTGTTAGTACTTACTTTGAGGCTATGTTCATTCAGACCAATTTGGCATACATAATGTGCTTCTATTTCCAAAACAATTCATATTAATCTCTACTTCTTAATCCTTTCTCCAGCTCTTCACTCCACTGTGCCCTCTAGTGACCAAAGGGAGTTTTGCAAGAGACCTCAGCAACCTTTCCAGGATGGTGACACTCCCAGGCCTTTCTTCCATTATTCCTCACCCTTGTCTGGGTCCCCACAGACACCGCAGTCATGTGAGAGCCCCAAATTCAGGCCCCGGCACACCTACATGAACCCCACTGCCAGCTCCTTGGCTAAAAGCGGCCGCTCCTCCTCTCTGGGAGAAGGGATCCAGATGAGCATGCCTCCTCACTCCCCGTCCTTCCTCAGTAGCAGGATTTCATCTGGGGAGCTGGAGGTCGAGCCTCTCGTGCTCACCTCATCTTCAGCTACTGCTTTCCCTAATTTCCTCCCCTACTCCTTATCCAAGAGCTACTGCTCCTTTTACCCAGAACGTCCCGCCCTCTCACATCCCACTTCCCAAGCAGCCTCTCAGCCCTCTCCACAGCCCCTGCTTGGACATGAAGCCAAGCTCAAGTCGGTCAGGAGGCCCGGCAGGGGCTTCTGCCTCTGCAATCGACCCTGGATGTGATACCTCAGGAAACAGACAAAGTTAGACTGCTAGCCATATACCATAGATATAATATGTACATACAGAGTTAATGAAACAAAACTGCTAATTCCGTGTGTGTGTTACTTTGCGTTTATGTTGTTGTCTGCAGCACTGGGCAGACATCTCTCTCTAAGTCTGGATCCATCTTCACGATGTGCACTACCAGTGAAGCAGAAAAAACAGTCAGTTTCTGAGAGGTACAATTTCACATTACTTACAAACATTTAACTACATTTTTGACATTTTTTAACATTTCTCAGCCTGGGCTGTTCTGGAAAATAACCTCTAAGAACAGGAAGTAACAGTGTCAGCTGAGCTTTATTTAACTGCCTTATACATGAGCGTGTTGAAGAATTAGGCATGTTTTATGGATCGTGTTTATTATTGCCATTCTGCTGTTTTGTTTGTTACATCAGAATCAGTCTGATACATTTCTGACATTCCCTCCCAGTGCCAAGGAGACAGGGCAGGTGGCTGTAGCTGAACATTACCCTCTGGTGCCTGAACAGGCCTACACAACAAGTGCCGATCCCCAACCAGGTCTGGGCTCCCAGAATTCTTTTATTCACCTGTCAGTGGCTGCTGCTCCTCCTCTTCATCATTGTATCTTTTCAGACTGCTTCTTTTCTTCTGCCTTCCGGCCTGTCTGTCAGTCTGCCTCTCTGTCTCACATCCTTCCATCTGTCTCTGTGCCCTCCTGCTGTCAGTACTCTAATTACACGGGTGAGACTACAGATGAAGGAACATCTGTTACTAAAAGAACCTGAGCATGGCAGTGATGCCTTGTTATTCTGTGTGACTTTTTGGTCTTCGTGTCTTCAAAAGTTAAAACGTTGTATTCTCCTTTAAGAACATCTTCTTTGATGCATGCATTAATGCTCCCATTTGATTACACAATACTACTATTTAACATTATGCATCTTTAAGTGCTGTTGCAGATGGTTTTCTTTACATTCTTTACATCAGTAAATACAGGAGTCTAATGGAGTTAAAATGCTGATCTTCACACTACTGCACCTGCTGTTTTATGGATGATAACTGCCTCACAGAGGGAACAGATTTCACTTCAGTTTGGAAAACACAGTAACCGTAAATGCCAATAAGTGATATCCAGCCCGCTTTTGTACCTACAGTATTGTTTTGCTTTAGGATAAAAACCGTGAAATCAGTTTTCTCAGCTCACAGAGCTCACACAGCTCCTGCTCTCTGGCTCCGTACAGCAGCCTCCTCATGGGTTTTTTTCTATTGTTTCTTTCTGCCACCAAGTTTTTTAAAACGCTCCTCAGCTTTTTGCTAAGTGTTTATTGTGTGCCAACTTTGTTTGGTACAGTGTGTGTTTGTGTGTACAGTGTATGCAATATTGTATTTGCATTTTTGTGCACACTGATTTGCCACATGCTGTGTCATTCCTGAAAGAGTCCTTCTCTCTCTCTGCAGATCACTCTATCACCCTGGAAACCTGTAGGCAGGCTGTCACCGAGCTTCACAACAGTCTGAGGAAAACCATCATGCTTTACACTATGGTTAGTGTGTAAAGTACAGTATTTTCTCTAATCTAACAAATGAAATAGGTAAAGATACTGCCTGTATGTCTTTCTTGCTGCGTGGCTGACTGATGTATGTTTTCATTTCAACCAGATGTTGAAAAGCAGCCAGCAGCTCAGTGAAGATCAGCAGCAGATGAGGAGAATCCTGTCTGAAGCCCTGTTCACAGTCAGGACTGAGCTGGATACTCTACCTCACCCCATGTCACAGTTTGAAGGGTCCAAAGTGGATCAGGGGGTCAGAGGTGAGAGAGAAGGCCCTGGCTCTGCTGGAGCAGTACACTGAGCTGCTGCTGAAGTCTGTGGAGAGGAAGCTAGATACCAAAACCTGAGATTTGCTGTGCACAGCAGGAGCCAGACACATAGTAGTACTGTGAATTGCACACTTGTTATTTGCACAGAGATCTTTTGGGCCTATATTTATTGACTGAAAACAGACAAGTCCTATTTGAAAAAGCTAAGTGTTATGCACTGAAAAATAACTGAAAAAAAGTTGCCTTATTTTTAAAGTTTTCATAGGTTTGTCGTGTGTCTTCCCTTTTTAAATAAAAAATTACAAGTATAATGAATAGCAAAATTATATAAATGGAGACACTAAAGTAACAGTGATGATGAGGCTGAAGGGTTTATTGTTTCATCCCTGCCAACAAGTGAGCAAATAGTGTCCTGGTGAATTAGCTATTCCACATTGTCCTCAGGGAACCATGAAGAGTCAAGTTTCAATCTGGCCATCGGCCTAGCTCTCGACAGCTGCGCCTCCAGATGAACACAACCAACACTGGTACTGGTAGTATGCAGAAAAAATGCCTCTGTTACTAAAAAGAGTGAGAAATACCTGGAGAGATGTTGCAGTGGTCAGCCATGTAATTCATGTTTTTGTGCCAGTAATGTCTCCCTTGTTGCAAACATTTGGTTAATGTATATCAAACTGTGATGAACCTTTTCAGTACCACTAGTACTTGCATTAATATTCTACTGGGACTTTAACAAAAATCTTTTTCAGAAAAATATAGTCTGTTACAATCACTCTTTATATTCTCTTTAAAAATAAACAGTGGAGACACTGGATGTAAATTTTTATTTCTTAGTTTTATCTAAAAATCATTACAGTTAGCATAACTCCATAGAACTGAGCCATAGTAGACCCTCGTTGCTTTTTGCCAGTGTTGATTCATGTTTTTATTATTATTGCAATTTAATTACATAGGAATGATTGTGCACAATACATACAAGTAGCCTGTTTATGGTGAAAACCAAAAGCTTTGTGTATTAAATGGTTAGCTGTGCAGCAACTTGTGGCACATTATAGAATGAGCTCAGTACAATTAGACATATACTAACAAGATTTCAATCTTTAAGCAAAGGATAATATAAAAATGGCAAAGATTTAGTGCCTAGACAACATAGTACATTAACAGTGTGTGTATATGTATGGGAAATTATCTATGCGTCATTGTATACAATTGTGCTGCTTTTACAACACACTTTATACGAGTCTGTCCTTGATGTGCTGATAAATGTAATATACGAGTAACAGTGTGCTTCCTATGGAAGTGTCTCCACATCAACGTAGGTGAGGATGATATCGTGCAGGATGTTGATTCTGCCAACCTGGTTAAGCCCTCTGACACGGTGTTTGAATTCAAACAGTGGGATGTTGTTCACTGCCACCTTGAATGCCTCATGAGTGCACAGGATCTTCATCTGGAGCAGAGCAGAATAATAACAATGCAGCACTTCAATCTAAACTGTGAGCTCATACATGTAGTACCCAATCAAAAGCAATGCATCAGTCACTACTTTATTTGAAATAGTTACTCTATATTGCCAAAACTTGTCAGAATTCCAAAAAAAGCATAAAAATTGTGGGAGTATCTAGAAACAGTTATTGTCCATCAACATGGACACAAGGGCTGCTGGATGTCTGTGCAGATTCTCAGTCATCCAGGTCTTAGTAAATTGAAAAAAATCAATTGGACTTAGATTTCTAGGTCGAAGACATTTCTCCTCTCATCCAAGAGGCTTCATCAGTTCTGACTGACTGGTGAGCCGGAGATATTTATCCCCCTCGGTGGTGTTTCAGTCCTTTGAAGGCCAACAATGTCCCTTAACAGCAGACATCACAACTTTAAGCCCAGTTCCTCGATCCACTGGCCCCAATCTGATTCTTCATTTTGCCACTCACCTTAAAAGGGATCCCAAGAGCAAAGGGAAAGGGTCCTTTCAGGTCTCTCTCTTCTGAGCCCCAGCGCTCACCTACTTTGTGGTTACAGACCACAACTTGTTTGCCCCCCTCATTGAAGCGGGGGTTGATGTGAAAGGCAACATCATTGCCTCTCAGAAAGTTTACTGTGAACCTGGGAGAGATCAAAGTAGTAATTATATTGCACAATAAGAACTTCAGAGAAAATGTGGAGAATTGAAGGATTCAGAAAGACACTGTACATTTTAGCATTAGGTTGCACATGGGCCAGGATGGTCATCATCATCTTGTCATAGACCCCACAGGGCAGGTTCAAGTTGTATGGCACACTAAGCATCAAGAGAGAGAAGAACAGTGAAACAGCCTTTCAATCAAATGACAACACTGGATGAAGCATACAAATCAGATTCTTTGCATTTGACTTACTAGACGTCCTGATGTGGGTGGAACCCAGTGTGGAGGCATGATAGATGGATTCTGCCCAGGCCACCATGACTGTCCTGTGTGGTAAGGCCAGTCGGGGTGGGTGGGTGGGCCACCCTGGTACATTTGGATGGTCGCTGGTAGCAGGAGCAGGAGCAGGTGGTGCTGGGACTGGAACTTGCTTTGGAAGTGATAAGTGGGGAGGCTGGTACTGGGTGCCTGGCCAGCGAGGCACTGGAGCAGGAGCTGGAACTTTAACTGGAGGTGGGATCATACGTGAAGTTGGTGCAGGGGCTGGTGTTATGGCCAGAGTCAGGGTTGGAACTGAAATTGGTCCAGGGACAGACTGGAGCTGTTTGTGTCCTGGGCCAGCATGGTGCAGACTGGGTGGATTGTCCTGGCCATGCAGGGAACCCAGATCCAGAGGTGGGCAGGCTGGACCAAAGACTGTTGGCCTGTGGGGCAGAACCAGCAGATGGGCAGCTGCCACTCAGAGCATCAGAATGCTGAGAGGGAGGAGGAGAAGAAGATGAAGAAACAGAAGTATCAGGAACCAGGACGGAGATACGGGACAGGGTGGAGGACACCAACTTGCAATTGCAAACATGGCCATTTGACACAAGCAAAGATTTAAGCATTTATATTTAAATTGAAACAGTGGAAAAAAGTAGTTGCAATGATATGCGTCATTCTTAACAGTGTAGAGATCTGAGAATTTGAAGGTACTTACATCCATGGTGCCCGTCAGAACAAGGTCAAGTTCACTTCAGCTTTTCCTATCACAAAGAAAGTGAAATGTCAGTGTCAAGCATAACTACCAAACCAAAATGAAAACAGCCACTGTACGTTTTAACAAAGTTACATTTTTGAATCTGTGTTAAAAATGTTCTGTATCCTGTAGATTGAAATAAAACATGCACTGTAGTCACTGAGCTTTAATGAAATGCAGAGAGAAGAGACAGTTCTCCATATGACCACCGGAGGACTCTACAGCTTTTCAAGATGTCGGCAAACAAATGCTGCACTGGATGATTGCGTGTCTCCATATATGGTACTGTAAATACATGTACATAGTTAACTAAAGCTTACTGAATGCCACGGAGTGTGCTTATTCACCGATGACCACAGACACCCTGGGTCATGCAGCAACATAATGCCACATTGACTGTGGGTTATGTCTGTGACCTATGTGCAGTGAGATACTGTATTTATTCTTGTGACTGCAAATTCAATTACTGTTACTAAATGACTAAGTGACCACCTAGTCTTGCCATTTCATGCTTCTTATTAATGTTCAAACAAAAGAAATAAAACAAATGCAAATAATATATATGCATAATATATACTGATATGTAATTCATATGTACAGTTAATTCATCAATTCATTCATCAGTTGTCTTGTTTTGACCATGTGATACATATTACCATCGTCTCTCAGTCAACAGCAGTCAGACTGTATGATGTTCAATTATATTCTCATAGCTAGATAAAATCAGATTAGGTCAGGACCTAGAGAGGGAATGCATTCTTTTCCTGGTACCATGAAAGCTGCTATTACAAGAGGTAAAGAATCTTTTTGGTCCTGATCTATTTTCATTGGGCTGATACAAATATGACTAAAAGTTACCTTTTCTTGTCCTCAGGTTTGCTCAGGCTGCAAGCCGTGAGCTAGTTCAGGTGAATCTGTTGACTTGTAGCCAAGCGCCAGGCAACACTTTTTTATAGACCCAAACCCTCTCACTGATTGCCCCCCCCCCCAGTTCATACCTCCACTGTCAGAAAAAAAAGTCGCTCTCTATATGTCAACATTTATGTTGAGAAAATATTATGGTTTATACATTACTGAGATTTTACAAGTGGTTACAGAACTGAAATTTATGACAGTCTTCTATAAAATAAATATTAAAAAAAACGCAAAAGAATAGGAACAGTAAAATTTAAATTTGATGTAAAATGTTTTAATATCCACCAGATGAGACTCCCTTCCCGTTTTTGTGTTGACATGGTTTACTTCACTGAGTTGTCATGCCGTATCTGTTCAGGTCACACAGAGTAACACAAATACAATAAAGAGACAAAGACGTCAGGACCTGATGCTGTTTTCTCTACGTCCAGGTAACAGCTGAAAAGCCAGCCATTACCACTCAGTTCACCCCCAGCTTAATTCACTATCGATTTGTGCTTGGTCCTACAATGGTGGAGCTCATACTTCTGATTTCATGTTTTTCTCTGGATGACTGAGGTTTACAATGGCACAACTAACAAACTGGAAAACTGTTGAATCTCTCAAGGGCGACAACTTCACAACAAATAACACTTACTAATGTGGGTTCACACAGTTGCACTGGTTGTCCTCACACCATTATTAAATTTTCCATCCTCTGAGCTGAAAAATGTCAGAAGAGGCTATGCCTCTTAGAACTTTGACTTACAGGTAAACAGTTAACCTACAAGTGCAATGGTGATTTGTTGATTTTACTATCAGGGCTGGTAAAGTCACAGCCATCAGTAATCTTTAATACTGTGGCTCTCCTCTGTCAGGTGGAGCAACTATCATCCTTGTATGCTGGGGTCTAAGCTAACATATGAGAATATTAGCCAACATTTCTGCCACCAGCAAATACACACATTACACCAACTGTACTCAGGTACAACACAGAGGCACATATGTGCACACACTCTTCATGAGCACATGAGAACACCCAGTAGCCAGAGCTCAGGAGCCCAGATGTGGCTTTCAGTGCCAAACATTAGACAATGTTGGACAGTTTGCAAGGTTTGAGCCTCTGGCTTTGTGTGTGTGTGTGTGTGTGTGTGTGTGTGTTTGTGTGTGCACAGATAAATGTTTATCATTTGTCTGTAGAAAATGGAACAGCAGTAATTTTATAACAGTCAGTATATTGATAAAAACACCACTAATCAATATTTTTAAATAATCAGTTGGTGAAGTGATGATGTGTCTGTGAAAGGAATTGCTTGTTTTGATGAATTTGTGGAGAATAACAAGTGTATCTTGGCAACACACTTTTAAATAAATTATCAATTTGGGAAACCTGACGATGTTTTTTGAGTCTGCCTCCTACTATTTTTAGCTGCTCGGATCCAATCTACCACAGTAGCTTTTTAGCACCTTTCAGCTCATTGTTTGGATTGTAGATCATGCAAGTTTAGTGTTTTGATCCCATCCTGCTGCTCTCTCTCCAGCAGCAGCAACACGTTCTGATAAACCCATTGTATGCTACCAGCCTGGCACCACATGGTAGAAAAACAAAGTTAACATCTCTGTGTTATCATTTATCACCTAAAGAGCCTGAGATATTTCTCTAAGGACATGGTGGAGACCAAAGCAGAGCTAAACTTAGATTCATCAGGTGATCAGAGACAAATTCAGGTGCCGATGATGTGTCTGTCTTTTGGACGTATAAACAGGCTACAGATCAATAACATGTTTTTCATATCAACTTTATCTGTATTTCTGCTTGGAAGCCATCAGTTCAGCCACAACAACCTTGCATGTGATAATGAAATAGGATCTCAAGGACACTGTCAGCGTGAACATTTGTTGTCAAACATGAAGCTCAAACTCAGGCCATATGATTGAAAGACATCTGTCTTTGACTTCCTCACTACAGGCTCCTCCACTGCACTAATACAGTGACCAGACATCAGACAACCTTGGAGAGTTGTTTTGCTTAAGGTGCATACTGTCAGAAGATGTCTTGCCAAGAAAAAATCCAGAATGTTTGGTTAGTCTCCTGTTTGACCAGTCAGCTGGTCAAGAGCTGGAACTGGCGACAGCTGTTTTAACAAGCCTTCTCTATACACTCAGCCCAATCTGTTTGGATTCAGTAATGTGATCAAAAGTTCTAATATAACAATCATGCATGTGTGACAAATACAGCTCAGCTGGAACTGGAGTGAATGTTTACCATGTGGTCATGACATATGATGTCAGATGGGGAATGGGGATCTACTTTTCTGGTTTCAACCAATGAGGCAGCTGTGAGGCATGCTGCTGTTAGGCAGATGAGAGTGTTCTGGCAGGAGCTGGGTTTTCCAGAGCATCGGCTGATAAGCCCCAAGCCTTATTCCAACACTCGTAAGCTGGAGCCTCCTTTCTTCCCTTTCTCCCCCTTTCCCCTCTTCTTCACCACCCCATTAAAGGCACAATAACTTCTATGGCAATCCCCACAGCTGGTACAATTTCTGAGTGTTTACATGTGGTTAAAGGAGAGGTTTTTATGAGGTAGTGTTCTTCAGTAACCTGAGGCTGTGTGACAGCTCTTACCAGGGGCTAAAGATGCATGTGTGCCTCCAAAGAACAAGTAAACCAGAGAGATAAATTCGAAAGAGTTTAAGAAGGAGTAAGAACGAGGGAGATAGGTTCACAGAAAATGATACTGCTACTGTTGCCATGGGGACAGCAGCATGTTTTGTAGGGACTTAAGTGTGTTAATGTGTATATTTTTGTGTGTATATCTGCACTACTATGACATTAATTTAATATCACAAATGTTTACGTTATTCACTCAGGGATTATTTGGCTTGTCTTTCAGACATAACAAGCAGCCTCTAATACAACTTACATTTGGAAGTCCTTTAGTAACCTGGGTGCCCCCACAACCTACCACTAGATGGGGATGTCAAAGCTTCACAGGTGGGTGTAGATGTGGTAAATATTTGTTGTTCTATGAAAGCCAAGGAATTTGTATGACTCTGTAATCTATGCATATTTAATTACGTCATCTGGGTCCTTCACAGACACTATTACAGACCATAGTGCATGAAATGAACTGGCAAAAAAAGAAAAATAAAAACAGCAGAAGGGCCTGATGGAACACTATAACCATCCATCCCACCCATTATCTATACTGCGTATCCTAACGAAGGTCATAGGGGGGCTGGAGCCAATCCCAGCTGACACTGGACGAGAGGCGGGGTACACCCTGGACAGGCCGCCAGTCTATCACAGGGCTGACACTTAGAGACAGACAAACACACACCCACACACACTCCTAGGAGCAATATGGAGTCATCAGTCAGTCTAAGCTATATGTCTTTGGACTGTGGGAGGAAGCCGGAGTACCCGGAGAGAACCTACACAGGGAGAACATGCAAACTCCACACAGAAAGGCATTGGGTCAGCCGGGGCTGACCCGATGATTAGGACACCACAGTCATAATCACAGTACAAATCTCTCAGGTAAAATGCTATACTGTGATATTATGGTGTTTTTATGCAGTGCATGCTAGGGCCTTCCTTGTTCCATCCTCAACTTCATCTAGATGCTATCTTGAATTTACATGTGTTATGACTGAAAAGACCTCACTTACTAAGATGCATCACTGGGCTCTTCTACCTTCCCACCCCGTGTGGCTGAATGAGAAAGATAAGTAGATGTGGCTGTCTATGAAGCCCATAATAAATGTGGCTCAGCCTGAAATAGTCCTGAGTTGAATGGGTGTTCCCACTGCTTATAATCTGGGCTTGCATTTCCCAGTGGGATTTATGGGTGGCAGGGAGGCCACATGGAAGAAGGAGCAGGCTAGGGCAGTATCATTGCAAGAGGACAAATCATTGAACCAGGGAATGATCTAATAGTGAGGAAGAAATGTGAATAATTTGCAGTGTGTCTACTTTTTGCAGGAGTGTGGAATGGAAGCAAGAATGATCTTCTGATTCAGTCTGTAGGTGAGCAGTAGGACCAGCTACTGACAAAGAGAGGGGAAACTTTTCCTTGTAGGCAAGTCAGCTGGTGAGACTTATCAGACTGATGAGCTTAAAGAAATACGATGAAGGCGAAGGATGTGGAACAGTAGCAGCTCATTCATTGATTCCTATGTTTAACTACAACACAGAGAGCTAGACCTTGGCATAATAATGGATACTCTCAGCCTCCTCTGCTTTTTTCTGCTCAGTTAACCAAACAGTCAGACATAAGGACTTTGCTGTCACAATGAGATAAATCGACTTGTGCCCTTGCACATTCACTTAGAGAAGAGCCTTGTGCTACAAATGGCACATCAGAAACAGATGGGAGATCAGTGAGAGCT